ACACTACAAGACAGAAAAGAGCCAAAACCAGAGTGTGGCCATTTTGGATCCACAGTGAGAAGGTGTTTGATTCTGTGGTCACTGAGAACATTTATACTCAGGAACCAACAGCATTATGAGTCTTAGTCACCTTTATATATGGGTGACATTAGACAATATCAACAGCTGGCCACCTCAGCTAGTAAAGAGTATCCTATAAGGGAATCAAAAATAAATATTTAATATTTTGGTACTTTCATTTTTCTAGTTACTTAAATATCTGTGATAACTGTCTGGTGCTGCCTCTGCATAGACAGCTTTATGTCAGTGAGACCATAGGAACAAGGGCTGAAAGAAAGGCAGGCAGGAGCCAGGCTCCTGGTTTCCACCCTTCCTTTAGTTGGCTCTGACCAGGATTTAGAATGCTACATTTGTAGCAAATTCTTGATAGACATGGACATTTTTCATGATCTGTTTCTCTCTAAAAGCTTGTGATATACCCACCATATTTTTTAAATGATAGCATTTAAATCATAAAAATATAAGAGTCTGGGAAAGACATCTTTCTCTGCCTCCTATCCATGTCCTGCACTGTAAAGCAACCAGGGAACAGACTGAGTGAAACCAACCAGCGTGTAACTATGATAAGTTTAAATACCTTGGCAATAAACATAGTTTTAAAAAGTTGTCTGAGTTTCCTATGGAGCATTTATGAGTCCTGTTTAGACAAGTGGCACTTAGCATTTCCAGGATGAGAGCAAAATCTAGGCTCAGGCAACAGAAATAAAATGATCCCAGGATTTGAGATGCCTCAGGATACACACCATAGAGCTTAGCCATTGGACAGTCACTCTAGATTGCCATCCCTCCTTAAAGCTCAACTTTGCGGTTACTTACTCCTGCCTCTCTATTGCTACAGATGCACTCTGTGTTCTAAGTTCATCTTTGAGCTAAGCTTTCGAAAACTAGCCCTGACTAATCAGCTCCGTGTGCAGCAATCATGAAGATCTCCTGCTTTCTGCTGCTGATCCTCTCTCTATCCTGCTTCCAGAACAACCCAGGTAAGTACCAAGACCTGCTGAACCCCTCACCAGAGCTGGGTACAATGGTGACAAATTAGTTTTAGATCTGAGGAGCCATCAGTAGGACAGCATTTCACAACTCAAAACCCTGTAGGCAGCTAGCAACAGGGACTTCAAATTTTGTCCTAGATATCAGGCAATGAGCCTGGCCAGAATGAAGAGCCAGTAAAAAAGATTTCCAAGATCTTTAACCCCCTTCTTGTCATGGTCATCTAGAAAATACTCTTTGTAGAAAAGATTCTTTCTTACCCCACCCCCCAGGAAGGCATAGCTCACCAAGAGACCAGTTTCTATCAGGAAATGGGCACCCACTCCTTAACAACCCTTCAAAGGACCATTTAACACATGACCACAATACACTTGGCTAATAAGGGATATGAACTTGATGTTTTAGATTAGGTAACTTGGTGGCAGATGACACACCTTAAAAGGCCATGTGTAGTAAGCATAAACCTTGAATGAAGTACAAGGACTCTCATTTTAACTTATTCCTCACAATGTCCTTGTGAATCAAAGGGAGTCGCGATTACTATTTCTTGGATGTGATAGGACTAGTGATCAGTAAGCCAAGATCACAGTCCCAAAGATCAGGAATCAAGTTGACTGCCATCACTGCATAAAGAGGTCTTGAACTCGAAATGTAACTGAATTACTTCCCAGGAAAAGCCCATAGTCACTTCTTTCTTGTGGTAAACAGAACTTGGTAAAGGATCGTCAGAACTTATTCTTATTGAGCACCAGGATTCAGTGGTCATCTAGGGGTTTACTTTGATAAGATGAGAATAAAAATGGGGCTGGGAGAATCCATCGTGGTCCAAGTTCTGTCTTTGTGAACTTTCTGCTCTGTAAAGAGCAATCAATCGACTTCACATTTGTCCTCTGTCAGATCAGACATTGACTGAACTGAGCTCCGAGTCCCTGCTTGGTATAAAACGGTCCTACTACGTTCAACCTTCCTCTCCTTTGCAATTGCCTTCACATTTATTTATTTTTTGATATGATATAATATAATCAGGAAAACAACAAAAAGGAGAAAATGTATTTATCTCCAAGCTCAGTATGTAGTAGACTGGCAGGGAAACCAGGCCAATGGGAGCTTAAAGTAGTTGGTCACATGGCATCCACATGATACTGTTGTCTTCTTGGCACAATCTAAGAACATCATGGAAAAGAATATCAATTAGAGATTGCCTAGATTATCTATAAGTGTCTTTGTTGCTTACCTGAGGGAAGAAAACATACCCATTTCCAGGGTTCAGGGCCTGGACTGTAAAAGACTGAAGAAGTGAGCTAAGCACTGGCATACAAGTTCTCTCTCTCTCTCTCTCTCTCTCTCTCTCTCTCTCTCTCTCTCTCTCT